CAAACTGATACTTGGCTGGAACGGTGGCCACGCTCTCACTCCAAAAGCCACCGCACGCTTCCAGAAGTGGATAGTTTAGAAGTGGCTGGTGTGACGGGGCAGAGACAACAACTCATCTGGTCTTAGGCACCCTAAAAGGTCTACGATGATCAACTGCAATTTGACAGTTGTCCTCGTGATATCTGACTGCTATTCTGTCTTGGGCTGATTTAAAAAAAAAAAAAAAAAAAGAAAAAGAAAAAGAAAAAAAGCAAGAGAGAAAGAAAGAAACCACCGCAGGGCTTTATTTTATCTCCTGCAAAGCTGCTCCAGCTGGAGCGGTGGCAGAAGAGGCAGGACAGACGAGGGCAGGGAGGGCAGGCAGAGAGCGACGGCAGAGCCCCTGTGGCACCAGCAGCGCTCCTGGGGCTGGCGGCTGCTCCCACCCAAAAGGCAGCAAATGCCCCCGTGACGCCCCTCTGCCCCCTACACGTGATTACTGGGAAGCAGGAGTGCAACAATACCGCACTTCCCGGTGTCCCAGGCAAACAAACCTCTGAGCAATTTAAAAATATTCAGCCCCTTGCCCTCAGCTGTGGTTCAAAACCCACTGCCCTTCAAAACCCAAAACATCACACAGAATCCTAACTAAAGGAACGGTCTTGAGCTCTTCCACACTGGTGTGATTCTGTCTACTCTCCATAAGCAGAAAAAGGATATTTAAAAAATAAAATAAAAAAGAAATCAATAGCTCTGAAACGCTCTATAAAGCTCTCAATCCATTCACATTTCTCTATCAGACCAGGGACTAACCAGTCTCTACAGATCTCCTCCAGAGACAGACCAAGAGGACCGTGGCCAGAGATGAGGCCTAACTGCTCACCACAGTTTAGGAAACAAAGAAAGTTGGCACATGGTGTAAAGCAACAGGGTTCAACTGGTATCAAAAAGAGAAACACTGCTTATCACAATGGTTTCTAAATTAACTGTATATTCTAAATTATAACCATCCTATCTACAGAGCGATAACTTATAATTTACCAAGTTAAATTGCATCCAAATTATTCCAGAACATTAAAGTTCATTTTGAAACATTCTGTTCTAAGCAATGATTTGCCATAGCTAGGTTTTAGCTAGGAAAAAAGCAGTACAGGGCCTCTGGGCTCTGGCTGCAAATATAACAGGAATACTCTGAAAACATAGCAAACAGTCTCTCCCACCTTAATATAACTATTTCCAGTTCAAATGAGTATAATCATGTCTTAACTAGAATACTTTAATAGCACTAGTGATAAGGAAAATATTTAGATGAATACAGTAATGAAGAGGTTAAATCTGATTGTAATTAGATTTCAGTATGCATGGTCATGTGGCTAATAGTAAATTTTCCTTGATTAACTGATCCTGTTTGTTAAGAGCTCCTATTAACATTAGCACACTCTGTGTTGGCTGTAGAGACACACCATGGACCAGTGCAAGATTAATGAAGGCAGGTACGCATGCTGATTAGAATGTGGCAGTTTAATAAACTCTTCTAACATTAAATTATTTAATGCATTCATGCTCATGTAGGCTATTCGATGGTCAGCTTGACCACCTATGTGTTAATATTGGGAATTGAAATGCAGAGGATGGAAGAAATATAGCTGTGGATGAGGTAATTAGCTCTCATGTCTGATAAATGGGGCAATACCTATGTGTATACATGTTTAGCACATCACAAATGGTGCTTTCATTAACTGGAATCTCTTGCTGAAAATTTTCTGAACATTTAGTCTGATTTTGATACCATAAACAATTCAACTAGCTACTATAGCCAGTGTCTGCCTAATATTTGAAAGAAATTTAAAGTAAACTATAGAGATAAGATGCATGGTTAATATATAAAAATTACCTTTGAAGCTTCACAAGCGTTTGGATCATCTTCCAGTGTATTTACTCATTTGAAACACAGACAATGTTTAGTAAATATTATTTGAAAAGTTACATGCTGCAGACTAGTACTTGTTTTGTCCTGTTTGTTCCCTTTTGTGTCCCTGGCAAGAGGTAACTAATTTTGTAGGAAAGACTGAGCTGCATTTCCACTTTGCCACGGGCCAGCAAGTCCCGTGTCATAGACTGTGTTGACACACATTAAAAGCAGCCTAGAACAAAGGCAACCTGCACGTGTCCTATAATCCATCTTCGGTGGTGTCCAAAACAGGACAGCAGCAGTACTCATGACTAACTGGACAGACCTTCCGCCCAGCCCTTTTTGTTGATATCTGGATCTCTTTTCAGACCATTTAGCAAATCTAAATAAGTGATGGGAATGGCTGATGGGCTTCAATTCAACACTATGTCCAGCTTCAAGATCTTTAACAAAATATAACCTCGCTAAAGCACTTTGGTGAATGAGCACTTTACTTATTGACTGTGGTCTTTGTCCACTCATTTACAGTAAGCCACTCGTTTTAAATGGCTTTTGTAACATTTTAAAGATTAAAATGATGTAAAATGAATAGCTTTAGTACTGATAAGCCACGTTAAGTGGCTTAATTAGCCAAGTTATTACGTCATTGCCCATAGTGCAACCTGACAATATTTATGAAAACATCCACATCACCTCAGGCCTAGGAAAAACTAACCTAAACATAGATCTATCAGACAGGAGGGCAGAAACTGGCTCTTTGCTGGTAATGTTTGGGTGCTAGCATGGGTGGGAAAGAAAAGAAGTCAGGATCTGTTAGACAACAGAAAGGGAACACAACTCTGCAGCCCTGCAGGCAGGCCTTGATGTGGAAAAGGAATCATAGGTTCCTGTCTTTGTTAGCGTTTTTATTTATTTCATAATAGCTCAGCCTGAAGTATGCAAGCTACCAAACCATTTCTTCAAGCAGGGACCAGAACCTAGGAAATCCCTTTCCCAGGAGAGCATTTGATCTATTTTTGTCACGTTTGCTCCCTGCCTCAAACTGCAGCCTTTTCTTTCACTGAATAGTTTAAAATATATATTTTGACCAAGAATGGGGTTTTCTACTAGCACTGCCATAGATGCCAGCAAACCAGAAACCAGTGCTCAGAGCACCTCTGAAAAAAGGGGAAGAACCGCAGGGTGGGGGCCTGCAGCTCAGCTGTGCCGAGCTTGCTGCTACATTGCAGCCACATCCACTCCAATACCACGCACTGTTTCCCTCCCACTGCCTCCAGAGAGGATACAGTGTTGTAAGCCCAGGTTCAAGTACTCAAGATTTTGGTGTTACCACCTCGAGGATTTGATCCAGTTTTCAAAGGGCTTTTAATCCACCAGGGGAATCACTGCCCAAGGCTCTGGGCAGCCAAGGCTTTCGCCAGGCCTGGACATCCCTGTGGAGCTTGGCCAGCCTGGACGCTGAAACTGGGCTCCTTATCTTGCCCTCCACCTCAGGCTAGGTCCGCTGGACCGGGGCCATAAATTCTCCCTTCTTGGTTGCAGGCTTCTGTGGGCCCTCTCCAGTGACACTAGATGCTGGCCTCTGTCTGATGACTTCTGCAAACTTTGGATATTTATTGGCACAATGCTGGATCTATATTTAGCTCTGCGTGCTTTGAAATTATTATACTGTCTGAACTATTTTTATCTAACCACAAGATAGAGATTTTATTTAAAATATTGCAATGTATACACTGGCATATGTAAACATATAGTTGTTATCATTTTGTTTTACTATGGTTTGGCCACGATGCAAGAAGACTGGAAGGCTTCTTATTAAATTAAATTGACTAAATTAAAGGAATTAAAATATATGAAAGAGACAAGGAATAAATTTTGAGGAAACCTAGTTACCTACAGCTCTGCAGGTTCCCTGCAGTTGAAGGTGTATGTTGGATAGAAACCATCAAGTTCAGGCTGCACTTAAAAACAGAAAAGTAAGATAAGATCAGAAAAAAAGTAGATGTCTAGTAACCTACATAGCTGCAATGCCCACTCTCCACTTAGGACATCTGTAAGACTCAGCATTGCCCAGGAGGAAAAAAAGAGGGAGATGAAGCTGTTCTAAAAGAAGAGTTTTGCCAGATCCTGTTTGAAAATAAGGGAGATGGGTTAGGAAAAAAAAAAAAAAAAGAAAGAAAGAAAAAAGGAGAGACTGTAAGGAATAATAAGAAAGCCAGATTCAGCTTATGCAAGAAACCGACTAATGCAACCTGGGGAAAAGCCTCGAGACTCCCCTGGCAACGCTGGTCCGTGGGGTCTCATGCTGCAGGCCAGGGAACTCTTTCTGGCTGGCTGCTGCCTCTCACATGCAAGCACAACAGGACTTCATCACAAACAAGATTATTTCACAGAACTGCCTATCACCAATTTCTTTCCTTAATAAAGCTATCAAAAGATGCTAAGTTTCCAGCTACTTTCTTGGATCAAATAGAGTGAAAACATTTTTCATCTGTGTTTGCTCTTAGAAATTATAATAATAAATAAAAGCAGAAAAATATCTGTCCAGGCCTTCATTGTCAGGAAGACAGATTTCAGGAATTTCCTTCCCTCTCCCTGCAATACATTTTATTTAAAAATCTGCCTTTTCTGACTTGTTTCTCAAGGGGTCATGCTGGATTTCATCTTTTTTTGCCATGCTGTCCCTCAGGGCAGTGTGTGCTCCCGCAGACTGGAGCTCTGCGTCATGCCAAATTCTGCTCACATCATGGTTAGGAAAGGACACGCAGGCAAGAAGGCTGCTGGTGCGAGAACTGCATAGAGAACCACTCCCAGTGCCAGGAAGAAAAAGACCAGGCTGCAGGGAGAGGATCGAGGATCGAGGATACAGAACTAAAGACAATAAAAACAGAGTTGGGAAGAGGCAAAGATGACATTGGGAATAGGAGATGGACATAAAATCACGAAAAAAAAAAAAAAAAAAGAAAAAAGGAAAAACGACTTGCCTGCCTTCAACTTGATTTAATTCCTCTCTCTGGCTCCTGAGAACTTGTTGGAATTCACGCACTGCATGACCTGGCAGAGGAAATCCCAGGCTGTGGAGGATGTCTGGATTCAAGGGAGCCTTCTCCACAGGTGCATTCAGAGAGGCTACTGGAACAAAAAGCAAGATGGGTTGTTAGAGCCACCTCACAGATGCCACCTGTGAGGCCAGCTGCTGCAGGATGTACAGATGAGCGTCCTGAGCTGTGGTCACTTGTCCCACACGGACAGATCTGAAGAGAGGGAGGGATAGTTTAATATATGGCAGGATTAATGGGAGCCACTGCCAGACAAACTGCCTACATCTTCCTAAACTGCTTCCTTCAGCCTGTAAAAGTTTTGACAGTTCCCATTTTCAGATGCAGATTTCTGTAACAGACTGAAAGGTCTGTAGTACTGCACTCTGACAAGCCTAGGATCATGAACATCATAAAGACACAAGAACCACATTGCATTAGGTAGTTTTCTGAAGTTGCTATATTCATTCCTCTGCTTGTCTAATCCTCTCTTCTCTCTCTCTTGTAATCTCTCCAAGTCCCCCTCCAATGCCCCTCCAATTACATTTCTGTGCTGCCCATCATGTCATCAGTTGGAAGACACTGGGTTTGGATTAGCACTAAATTTGCTTAAGTCTTTCAAAGGCTCCACTTGGGTATTAAGTAAGCTCAAACTTTAATTATATCTGCCCAGCAGATACCAGTTGTTCTTTCCAGTTAAATACTTGTGTTTCGGAAGACCAAACCAGCTAGCTTTTATCTGCTGAGCAGGGGCTAGCAAGTGTGAATGAAAAGCTCCTTGAACAAATGAGTGTTCATATTTAAGAAATTAAAAATAAACTGTTTTCTCACTTCTTTGCAATGAAAGCTCTTTGATAGATTGCTCTTCTCACTGGGAACAGTGACATTACTTGCCAGTTGGGGAAACTGAATCAGAGCAGGTTGAACTTCCATCCTGATTCTGAAGGTATCACTTTACTCAAAAAGAATGTACTGCCCAGGATGACTTACAATAACCACAACTAGCCCCTAAAGATAGCTTTTTTTTTTTTTTTTTTTTTTCTTTAAATCAGCAACACCTATTTTAGAAACACCGATAAATGAGGGCAGTTCCCAGTTCCAGGACAGGAGCTGTGCACCCAGGCTCCCCTCCAGCTCGTGGGGGGTGGCAGGGACCCACGGCTCTGGCTCGGGAACATCAGCAGCTGCTTGTTGTGCTCCCCTGCCCAGCATTCCCTCTGCGGTGCCAGGCTCTACTCCCATCATTTCTGAGAGCTTCTTAAATTCAGCAGAACCTTTGGAGAGATATGGCTTTTTTATTCTATTTCAGAGATGAAGTCTCCTTGATTTTATGTCCTATTTTCTAAATTATAGTTTTCTTTATTATATGTCAGGAAGACTTTATAGTCCAATCTGACCTCATTATTAGTCTAAATATAATATGCTTAATAACAATACAACAAGGCAAACCAATCAGGTCACATGCAGAAAAACAAAAGACAACTTCACTGCAATGCCTTACCAGAATAAAATCAAACAATGACACCCAGCCCAATACTTCCTTTTTTTCCCCCTAATTTCCTTTAGAAATCACAAAGGGACACCAGGATATCAATGTAATTCTGGTTTGGGTTTGTTTGTTTGTTTTCTCTCTTATTTTTCATGCTGCCTCTAATGTCTATTTAAGTGCAACTACCTGGATCAAACAGATACATAATTTGCCTCCTAACAGCACATGCCCTCGCTTTATTAATCTGGTTAGCCTTAAGAGCAGGTTTTCCAGGTCAAGACCCTGAGGCAGCCTCTTTAAAAGAACGCTCTTTGCTGGCTTACAGACAGCCGTGCTGCGGCTCCCTCCTCCCCGGGGGCTCATTCCCCCAGGGAAGCTGGGCCCACTGGAAGCACCGGCTGCGCTGCTACCCCAGGAGTTCTCACCCTTCCCATCACCTGCAAGGACAGAGACTCCTGGATGCCTCTGCAGCAGAGCCTGGCTCTCGGATACCAGCCTTTCCCGAGACCACAGCCACAGGGCAGCAGAAAGATTTTCTGATACAAAGAAAATGCCTAAGTTCCTGCTACAGACTGAGGATATTTTAGGAAAAAAAAAAAAGAAGGGCATCTTTATTTTGTTCCCTTCTCTTTTTTGGGATGCTGGGTGCACAGCTGATATAGCACCAGACTTGCCATAGCAATATATTCCTAACGGTGGTTTTTCTATCAGGAGTTTTTGAGAAGTACTACTATAAATAGTCCTTAGTAAGCACTTTGTAAAGAACACCTAGTGCATTTTATATATTTTGACTATGTATACATTTCCAGTGCAATGTGGAGGAATTAGCCAGACGATTACCATTAGTGAAATGGCAGTTCTGCCTCTGACATCGCAGGCTTGACACTGAACATTACCTTCACATAACAAAATTCAGGAATAAGCTGAGTTGCAAGGTGTAGCTTCCCGCTCCTCTTTTTATTTTTCCTGTTTCTTTTTTCTATTTTCAACTTTCTTCGAAACAAAAAGTTGCTTCCATTTTTTTTTAAAGGTGTTTCAATACCCAGAGGTGCTGCAAGGCTCCTCCAGGAGTCCATTTCAATTGGTAACCTGACTTTGAGGAATACAGATATTAATAACAACATTTCTTATTGGTCAAAAACCCTAGATTAAAGAAGCACTACTGTTGTAGAGTCAAGCAAAGTTAGGGAACGTGAGAACTAAAGTAGCTTATCGTAGCTGTAAGCATGCAAGCTTGCACTAACACTCATATAACTTTAATTCATCCCTCTTCGATTCATGATTTATAACACAGTTTTAAATTATATGATTACATTATCAATTTTTCCCATAGGAGTGTCGCAGGCAGATGGTGCTCAGCAAATGAGCCGGGCAGGTAGGCAATATTTTGGTGTTACCTTCACCGTTCAGAGCGTTGTCCCTCTGGCTTTCTCAATGCCCATTCTCTTCAAATCTGATTCTACAGAACAAAGAATTTTCATTTACTTTCCAAATAGTCTATTACCCTCCTTGGTATAGCATCTGAATGTTTCACAAACCTTAATGAATTTATTTTTCAGAACATCCCTTTGATTCATTTAATTGTAAACAATTTTACAAGTGGGAAGCTGAGGCACAGAGCTAATAAGGTTAAAAATATCTGCTCATCTTGGGCTTTCTTAAATGCCTAACACTGTTTTTACCTACTATTAAGCATTAGGCAACAACATTTTTATTCAAGCGTATTTCTATTGACCTATCATAGTTCCTAAGCACTCCACTGAATCAAAGCATCCTCTGAGAGACACCCAAATAATGAAAGCAAACTTCCTTTGTGTCAGCTGATGCAAATGTAGCTGTTGCCATTGGCAGCTGCAAGGATTGTGTTAAATTTAAGGGAATTACAACAAACACTCAAGTCACAATAATGAAACTAGAGAAAAAATGTAAGCATTCTGGAGGTCATACACTTAATTTCCCCACTTGGAAAGACACAGTTTAACAGCTCATTTTCATTGAAGATAGAAGAGAAAGCTACAGCCATGCACATAAGCAGGGTATGACAGTGACTAATTCAAAAAACTGTAACTTCACTCTTCTCTGCCATAAGTAGAAACTCTTCTCCTGTGAGACAAGAGATCCTGCAGGTTCTATCTCCCTTTGAGGACACAAGTCCCCTTTAGCACAAAGGCCCTTTGAACACAGTAAAACACCACACACAAATCCACAAGTTTCAAGATGGAAAGAGCTCATGGCAGATCTGTCCTTCCTTTGCTCTCACCTCTTGGTTGCCCTGGCACAAGAGTCTTGGGGCACAGGAGGAATGTGGTGGTTTTGCTTTTATTTTAGGCCTCAGTTGTCTGGTGTTTTAAAAAGATTTCTCTAGTTTAACAGACACAGGATGAGAACCCAGTTCTCCAGGACAACATTCAATTGCCATTAAAGGCATTTTCATTACAGACTTTGCAACATATACAACAGATGAGGCAGATAATTCAATGGAAAACAGCATCTATCACTGTACAGCTCTAAGCGCAGGCACATTCCCATGCACCGAACAAAGTCCTCTGGGAATGGCATAGGCTCCTTTAACTAAAAGCTCTGTCATAAGACATATGCAGAGGGGACTGGCGTTAGGTATTTGACTTTGCAATTTAAATTTAAGCATGTGTGTGTGTGTGTAACTCTGCAGATTGTAAAAACACGAAGTCCAAAGCAGAAGAGATTCATTATATGGAATCACGTTGACATCTGCATAGGCTCTTTGGAAGCCTGGACTCGGTGCTCACAGTACAAATCTCTGCAAGCTGAACTAATGTTCAAGCAATAGCAATAGTCCCCATCAGCTCTGGTGGCCTCCCTGCTCTACCCAGCAGGGACTCTTCACACAACTAGGTTTCCCATAAATGCTGATAGCAGGCAAGCAAGGAGAGCTGCATCCCACATCAAGCTCCTTAACTGATCTGCCTTTTACTTGTCATGTCTAGTCTGAGTCCTTTTATTTACTATTCTTCATCTCAGTCTCATCACCTCACTTTTCCTGTTATTTTCTGCCAGCTCCCCTCACAACTCACCAGCCTACCTCTTCTGTACTCTTCATAATGAAACAGAGTGGGCTCTCTGCTGCGTAGGATATAGCAGAGGGGCAGCAGGATTATAGGCAAGTTATCTTTGCTCTCAGTTTAGTCCTCAACAACCACCTCTCGCTGCTGGCAGCAGCACTGGGGCAGCAGGGCACCTTGGCTGCTCTCCGGGGATGGCATCTCCACGCCAGCTCATGCCCCCTGATGCCTCAGCGCGGTATCAAACGCACCCAGCCTACATTTTTCACTTTGACAGAGTTCAAACACTATGGACCTATCTTTCCTGTTTCCAACTTTTAATTGAAAAAATAGTTTAATTCTAGCTTTCCTGCTTGCAAAGATAAACTTCTAATTTGTGCACAGAAGCAGTCTTGTCCATGTGTACAGCAAGAGCTTTGAAGGCAACTGCCCTCATCTTTCAATTGTTATTTGCTAAATTTAATGCTTCCAATTGCCCAGATACCAAATGCATGGATACTGAACCTGAATTAATCCTGATTTATGTTTGCCTTAGAGTGGAATAACTCCAGTTTTCATCGATAA